AAACAAATCTCACTCTGTCCTAGGCTAGAGTCCAATGGAGAGAACATGGCTTTACTTCAGCCTTGACCATATTACATTACTCCCCTGCTTAATACTGTAATGATATTGACCTGTGGTCTCAGGTGATCCTCCTGCCACAGTCTCCCAGGTAGCTGGGCCTACAGGCACATGCCACCACACCTGGCTAAGTTTTTGTAGAGATAGGGGTCTCACTATGTTACCCAGGCTGGCCTTAAACTCCTGGCCTCAAGTGATCCTCCCACCTTAACCTCCCAAACTGCTGGGATTACAGATGTAAGCTACCGTGCTGTGTTTTGGAATATCTCTTTTTCATTTGTACTGTTGACATCTTGGTCTAAGCCACTATCAAATCATACTTGGATTATTTTAGTTTTTTCTCTTACCTGCCTCCTTTCTTACACCCCGCTACCATTCATTTTCCTTACAAAGTTGGAATAAGCTTTTATAAATATAAATCCGTATTACATTACTCCCCTGCCTAATATCGTAATAATTTCTCATAGCTTCAGTCATAGCTTCCTTCTATCACTTAGGGCCTTTGTACTCACTGTTCTGTCTGAAGAAGGCTTTGTCCCCATGACTAACTGCCTCCCACTTGGGCCTCAGTTCGAAGTCACCTCAGAGAGGCCTTCCCCTTTAAGCTCTTCCAAGTTCTGCTTCCAGTTATTCAGTTCCTAGCCTGGAGGCTTGCAGTACTTATTCTTAAATAGATCCTTTCAGAGATAGTTAATGTATACATTATATATGTGTAAACTAGGTATATGCAAGTAAGTATGCATGTATATATTCCTTTTAAGTTTTTACCTATTGGTATCATAACTGTTTCTATGCTTTGATGTTTCACCTACTATATGTCAAAGCTCAGACCATGTAAGTGCATACATTTTTTTTTGTAGATGGGTATATCATAATTTATTTAACCAATACCTTAGAGATGGACATTTAAATTATTTCTAGTCTTTGCAATTCCAAACAATTCTGCAATGAATAATCTTGTTTATATAACATTATAAACAAGTAAGTGTGCCTTTATTGTGTCCAGGAAATAAGTATGTTTCAGTAACTTGAAGGTCATTCAATATTTTTTGGATATTTTTTTTTAAATTTGTATTTGGGCTCTGGGGTACATGTGCATGTCCTGCATCCTGCAGGATTGTTGTATAGGTACATACATACCACTTGGTTTGCTGTCTCTCTTCCCTCCCACCATCACCTACATCGGGTGTTTCTCCTGGTGTTATCCCTCCCCATCTTCCCCTCCCCACCCCTGTTGTACCCCCTCCTCTCCCCTTCCCCGACCCTGCCTAGCCCTGTGAGTGTTGTTCCCTTCCCTGTGCCCAAGTGTTCTCATTGTTCATCACCTGCCTATGAGTGAAAACATGTGGTGTTTGGTTTTCTGTTCTTGTGTCAGTTTGCTGAGAATGATGGTTTCTAGGTTCATCCATGTCTCTGCAAAGGACACAAACTCATCATTTTTTATGGCTGCATAGTATTCCATGGTGTATATGTGCCACATTTTTTTTTGTCCAGTCTATCATCGATGGGCATTTGGTTGGTTCCAGGTCTTTGCTATTGTAAACAGTGCCACAATGAACATATGTGTGCATGTGTCTTTATGATAGAACAATTTATAAGCCTTTGGTTATATACCCAGTAATGGGATTGCCGGGTTAAATGGAATTTCTATTTCTAGATCCTTGAGGAATCACCACATTGTCTTCCACAATGGTTGAACTAATTTACACTCCCACCAGCAGTATGAAAGTGTACCTTTTTCTCCACATCCTCTCCAGCATCTGTTGTCTCTAGATTTTTTAATAATTGCCATTCTAACTGGCATGAGATGGTATCTCAATGTAGTTTTGATTTGCATTTCTCTAATGACCAGTGATGATGAGCATTTTTTTGTGTTTGTTGGCCTCATATATGTCTTTTTTTGAAAAGTGTCTGTTCATATCCTTCACCCACTTTTGAATGGGTTTTTTTGTTTTTTTCTTGTAAATGTGCTTTAGTTCTTTGTAGGTTCTGGATATTAGCCCTTTGTCTGATGGGTAGATTGTGAAAATTTTTTCCCATTCTGTTGGTTGCCGGTTTAATGATTGTTTCTTTTGCTGTGCAGAAGCTCTTAAATTTAATTGGGTACCATTTGTCTATTTTGGCTTTTGTTGCCACTGCTTTTGGTGTTTTAGTCATGAAGTCCTTGCCTATGCCTATGTCCTGAATGGTTTTGCCTAGGTTTTCTTCCAGGGTTTTTATGGTGTTAGTTCTTACGTTTAAATCTTTAATCCATCTGGAGTTAATTTTTGTATAAGGTGTAAGGAAGGGGTCCAGTTTCAGCTTCCTGCCTATGACTAGCCAGTTTTCCCAACACCATTTATTAAATAGGGAATCCTTTCCCTATTGCTTGTTTTTGTCCAGTTTGTCAAAGATCAGATGGTTGTAGATGTGTGGCGTTGCTTCCGAGGCCTCTGTTCTGTTCCATTGGTCTATATCTCTGTTTTGGTGCCAGTACCATGCTGTTTTGATTACTATAGCCTTGCAGTGTAGTTTGAAGTAAGGTAATGTGATGCCTCCTGCTTTGTTCTTTTTGCTTAGGGCTGTCTTGGCTATATGTGCTCTCTTTTGGTTCCATATGAAGTTTAAAATGTTTTTTTCCAGTTCTGTGAAGATCAATGGTAGCTTGATGGGGATAGCATTGAATCTATAAATTAATTTGGGCAGTATGGCCATTTTCACGATATTGATTCTTGCTAACCATGAGCGTGGAATGTTTCTTCATCTGTTTGTGTCCTCTCTTATTTCCTTGATCAGTGGTTTGTAGTTCTCCTTGAAGAGATCTTTTACCTCCTTTGTTTTTTGTATTCCTAGGTATTTTATTCTCTTTGTAGCAATGGTAAATGGGAGTTCGCTCTTGATTTGGCTCTCTGTCTATTCTTGGTGTATAGGAATGTTTGTGATTTCTGCACATTGATTTTGTGTCCTGAGACTTTGCTGAAGTTGCTTACCATCTTAAGGAGGTTTTGGGCTGAGATGACGGGGTCTTCTAAATATACGATCATGTCTTCTGCAAATAGGGACAATTGGACTTCTTCTTTTCCTAAATGAATTTCCTTTATTTCTTTTTCTTACCTATATGCTCTGGCTAGAATTTCCAATACTATATTGAATAGGAGTAGTGAGAGAGGGCATCCTTCTCTAGTGCCAGTGTTTAAATGGAATGCTTTTAATTTTTGCCCATTCAGTATGATATTGGCTATGGGTTTGTCGTAAATAGCTTTTATTGTTTTGAGATACGTTCCATCAATACCCAGTTTATTGAGAGTTTTTAGCTTAAAGGTTGTTGAATTTTGTCAAAGGCCTTCTCTGCATCTATTGAGATAATCATGTGGTTTTTGTCTTTGGTTCTGTTTATGTGGTGAATTACATTTATAGATTTGCATATGTTCAACCAGCCTTGCATCCCTGGGATGAAGCCTACTTGATCGTGATGGATAAGCTTTTTGATGTGCTGTTGGATTCTGTTTGCCAGTATTTTATTGAAGATTTTTGCATCAATGTTCCTCATGGATATTGTCCACTAGTTTTCTTTTTCAGTTGTATCTCTGCCAGATTTTGATATCAGGATGATGTTGGTTTCATAGGAAGAGTTAGGGAGGATTCCATCTTTTGGTATTGTTTGGAATAGTTTCAATAGGAATGGTACCAGCTCCTTTGTATGTCTCATAGAATTCACCTGTGAACCCGTCTGGACCTGGCCTTTTTTTTGGTCGTTAGGGTATTAATTGCTGCCTCAACTTCAGACCTTGTTATTGGTCTATTCATGGTTTCAACTTCTTGGCTTAGTCTTCGGAGTATGCAAGTGTCCAGGAATTTATCTATTTCTTCCAGATTTACTGGTTTATGTGCATGGAGTTGTTTGTAGTAATCTCTGATGTTAGTTTGTATTTCCAAGGAATTGGTGGTGATCTCCCCTTTATTGTTTTTTATTGCATCTATTCAATTCTTCTCTCTTTTCCTTTTTATTCACCTAGATGGTGGTCTATTTTGTTGATCTTTTCAAAAAACCAGCTCCTGGGTTTATTGATTTTTTTAAGGGTTTTTTGTGTCTCTGTCTCCTTCAGTTCTGCTCTGATCTTAGTTATTTCTTGTCTTCTGCTTGCTTTTGAGTTTTTTTGATCTTGCTCCTCTAGCTCTTTCAATTTTGATGATAGGGTGTCAATTTTAGATCTTTCCTTGTTTCTCATGTGGGCATTTATTGCTATAAATTTCCCTCTAGACACTGCTTTAAATGTGTCGCATAGGATCTGCTACTTTGTGTCTTCATTCTCATTGGTTTTAAAGAACATTTTTATTTCTGCCATCATTTCATTGTTTATCCATTCATCATTCGGGAGCAAGTTGTTCAGTTTCCATGTGATTGTGTGGTTTTGAGTGCTTTTCTTAATTCTGAATTCTAATTGGATTGTGCTGCGGTCTGAGAGACTGTTATGATTTCCATTCTTTTGCATTTGCTGAGGAGTGATTTGCATCCAATTATGTGGTCAATTTTAGAGTAAGTGCAGTGTGGTGCTAAGAAGAATGTATATTCTGTGGATTTGGGGTGGAGTGTCCTGTAAATATCTTCTAGGTCTGCTTGGTCCAAATCTGTGTTCAAGTCCTGGATATCCTTTTTGACTTGCTGTCTCATTGATCTGTCCAGTACTGTCAGTGGAGTGTTAAAGTCTCCCACTATTATTGTGCAAGAGTCTAAGTCTCTTTGTAGGCCTTTAAGAACTTGCTTTATGGATCTGGGTGCTCCTGCATTGGATGCATAAATATTTAGGATAGTTAGCTCTTCTTGGATAGTTGCATTGAACCTTTTACTATTATATAATGGCCTTCTTTGTTTCTTTTGATCTTTGTTAAAGTCCATTTTATCAGAGACTACGATTGCTACCCCTGCTTTTTTTTTGTTCTCCATTTGCTTGGTAAATCTTCTTCCATCCCTTTATTTTGAGTCTGTGTGAGTCTTTGCATGTGAGATGGGTCTCCTGAATACAGCACACTGATGGGTCTTGACTTTTTATCCAGTTTGCCAGTCTGTGACTTTTGATTAGGGCATTTAGGCCATTTACATTCAACATTCATATTGTTATGTTTGAATTTGATTCTGCCATTTTTGTTACTTGCTGGTTGTTTTGATCATTAATTGACGTGGCTCCTTCATTGTGTCTTTATTCTTTACCATTTGGTACGTTTTTGCAGTGGCTGGTCCTGGTTGTTCCTTTCCCTGTTTAATACTTCCTTCAGTAGCTCCTGTCAGGCAGGTCTTGTGGTGACAAAATCTCTCTGCAATTGCTTGTCTGTAAAGGATTTTATTTCTCCTTCACTTATGAAGCTTAGTTTGGCTGGATATGAAATTCTAGGTTAAAGTTATTTTCTTTAAAGATGTTGAATATTGGCCCCCACTCCCTTCTAGCTTGCAGGGTTTCTGCTGAGAGATCTGCTGTGAGTCTGATGGTCTTTCCTTTGTGGGTGACTGGACCTTTCTCTCTGGCTACCCTTAGGATTTTTTCCTTCATTTCAACCCTGGTGAATCTGACAACTATGTGCCTTGGGGTTGCTCTTCTTGAGGAATATCTTTGTGGTGTTCTCTGTATTTCCTGGATTTGAATGTTGGCCTACCTTGTTAGGTTGGGAACATTCTCTTGGATAATATCTTGAAGAGTGTTTTCCAACTTGGATTCATTCTTCCTGTCACATTCAGGTACGCCGATCATGTGTAGATTAGGTTTTTTCACATAATTCCATAGTTCTTGGAGGCTTTGTTCATTTTTTTTCACTCTTTTTTCTCTAATCTTGCCTTCTCATTTTATTTCATTGATGTGATATTCTATCTCTGATATCCTTTCTTCTCCTTGATCAAATGTTGAAATTTGTGTATGCCTCATGAAGTTCTCATGCTATGTTTTTCAGCTCCATCAAGTTGCTTATGTTCTTCTCTAAGCTGGTTAAAAATTCTAGTTAGCATTTCGTCTAACCTTTTTTCAAGGTTCTTAGTTTCTTTGCATTGGGTTAGAACGTGGCCTTTTCAACTCAGAGAAGTTTGTCATTACCTACCTTCTGAAGCCTGCTTCTGTCAATTTGTCAGATTCATTCTCTTTTTTTGTTCCCTTGATGGTGAGGAGTTGTGATCCCTGGGAGGAGAAGAGGTGTTCTGTTCTTTGATGGTTTCATCCTTTTTGTGTTGGTTTTTTTTTTTTTTTTGCATCTTCGTGAATTTATCTACCTTTAATTTTTGACGTTGGTGATTTCAGGAGTCTCTGAGTGGAATTTTTTTCTATTGAGTTTGTAACTATATCTTTTTCGGCCTGTAGAGGGCGTGGCTGGGCTCTTTCGGGTTCAGTCAGGTTGTTGAGTGGGTGGTCCTTCCCTGGAGTTTGTTTGCAGGTGAGATTGGCCCCGCCTTCCCAATGGCGTCTCTCCTTCCCCAGCTGGATCTTCCTGGTTGGGGTCAATCTGGTGTATTTGCTGCCAAGCTCTCTAGCCAGGGCTTCAGTTTGAGTTCTGTGGAAGAGGGGCCTGCCAGGCCTTATGGTCTGTTTCCCTGCTTTCAACTCTGCCTCCCTCTGTGGGATGGTCCCTCCTGCTGGCGTTAGTCCAAACTCCCGCCCAGGTCCCCGCAACAACTTGGTGCACCCGGCTACGCCGCTGCTCAGATTTGCATTGACTGCCCACGTTGCCCCACTGTCTGGCAGGGCTCTCCTGGACCGGGGGTTGCAGGAGGGATTAGGTAAGCACAGGATCCGAAACGAAGCAGCGAGGGGGTTTAGACCCTCGGTTTGGGGGGGGGGACGCGCCTCCCCACCGTCCGTCTTGATTTGCCCCACAGGCAGCTCTCGCCCTGTGGCTCCTTCCCTGGGCCTAATTTCAGTGCCCTATCAGTCCCACAGAAACGAACCCAGCACCTCTTTTGGAATTGTGAAGTCCTCTAGCCCTCAGCGTCTCATTTGCTGGGCGCTGCATTCCGGTGCTGGCTTCTGTAGGCCATCTCTTTGGATTGTTTAATAAAAAATCATTTGAAAATGATATCATTGCATTTTGTCTTGAGATTTGGGAAACGTTTAAAAATTAGTTTCAGTAACTTTCTTGTGTTACTAATTGTGTAGGAGATGTTAGAAGCTCTCAAGGCACTTTCAACCTTTTTTGTTGAAAATACTCTGCGGACTCGAAGAAATTTACGTGGAGATATTGAGCGTAAAAGTTTAGCCATCAATGAAGAATTTGTAAGCATTTTCAAGGAAGTGAAGGAGGTACGTAAACTCTTTTCACTTAGCTTATATTGAGAACTTACTATATGCCTAGCTCTGTGCTATATATTTTTTTGAATTAGGTTGATATATTTGCTATGTATCATATTATATGTATATACTATGCCTAAATAGAAAACTTAGCTAATGTCTCTTGCTGCATCTGGGTCTTTATTTGTATTAATGGGTAATTTCCACACATATTAGTTCTTAGAAAGTTGTAACATTGTTCTAGAAGATTATCTTAGGAACTTTAGCTTTTTTAACAAAAAAAAATTAACATTTCCCTTAATGGCTTTCCAATAGAAATATCCCACTTTCTTGGATAACAGCTTCTCTATTGGAGATTAATTAGAGTTGAGTTACTTTTATTGTATCCTAAAATATGAAAATTTCAGATTAAGATCAATAGCTTCAATGTATTAATGATTCATCACACTTGTGAGTGTAGTCCACTCACCATAGGGTGAAAATAAATTTTATTTATATCTTATTTATGATGTAATATTTTATTAACTTTTATTAACTGTGTTAATATAATAATATATTTCTGTGAGTTATGAAGTGTTGCACATGGTTTCAATGAGTGTTTAATAAAAATAGATTGCTTTTAACAACTTGGTAGGTTTTTATTGACCGAAGACTAATAATTTAGAAAGTTTTTTTTTTTTTTAATTACATTAGAGATGGAAACTTGCTCTGTTGTCTAGGCTGGAGTGCAGTGGCTGTTCTCAGATATGATCATAGTACACTACAGCCTTGAACTCCTGGGCTCAAGCAATTCTTCCACCTCAGCCTCCAAGTAACTGGGACTGCAGGTGCGTGCCACCATGCCTGGCTGTTTTAAATACCATTTCCTGCTGAAAGGAACAATCTTATCGGTATCAGAAAGCAAAGATGCTATCTGAGACTATTGGATAAATGTCAAAAGGACTTTGGAGCTAATGTGAAGAGGATTCTACTGGCCAAAGATAGGACTATTTGATGGTCAGTAAGAATAACTACAATTGAATAACACTAAGAATAAAGACGTATTCATTTTTACAAAGTATTTGCCATTTTCCTGTGGTCGTATTCTCTAAAAGGAATGGACTGTTTTCTTTATGTTTTTTTCTAACACTAGATGTTATTCGTTTTAATAATTTCCAATTTTAAATATGGGATCTCTTGTCATGCCTTGACAAAAAAAATTTATGAAACTAAAATAAGGATTTAGCTAAGAGAAGAGAATCTACTTTCTGTATCTAAGATGTTTGATGTTACTTTTCTCCTTTTCAGGAACTTGAAAGCATAAGTGAAGATGTTCAAGCAATGAGCAACTGTTGTCAAGATATGACAAGTCGCCTACAGGTATTGTATAATGGCTAGATTTTGGCATAGTTTCTGCTATGAAGTAAACTTTCAGATATTATTAGGTCTACAAAATGTACGTGTATCTAATCCATCATGCCCTGTGGGAAATTTGGATATAAATATAATGCTTATTCTTTAAAATTGTAGATATCTTTGTGTTTCTTTGGATAATGATTTATTAATGTTGTTCAATTAACTTTAGAGTCTTTATATTTTGGTCTAGCTGGTACAGAGCTTACTATGTAGAATTTTGATAAACCTTTCAATACCATAGTATTCTAGAAATCTAGGAGGAATGATTTTTTTAGTAAGAAGTCTTAGGAATAAATATAAAGACCCAACTTACTTCTGACTTATGCATGGCCTAAACCAATTCTGCCAAAATATGTATTATTTTAGGTCTTTTTATTAAAACAATCCTAAGCTTATAATTTGGCTACAGAATCAGCATTTGATTTAATTCCCCTCATTCATCTGATTTTGGAATAGTACATAGAACAGTTTTCTCCTAAGGGCCAATCATGATTATGTCTACTACCTTCACATTTTAACAGCAAGCTTTTATCTCTAAGAGTCTCCTGGAACCATTGGCATCAAATAGTGATTCTCAGAAGAATCATTAATCTATGCATAGTCTGCAGATTAATCACAGGCTACTTGCAGCATCAGTTTTCAGGACTAGTTTATTTCTTGTTTCTCTAAAATTTTGTCTTTTCTGGTCTTATCTAAATTTTGGTATTCTTACTAACCTATCAGATATTATTGGCAGACTTATTGTCTCTTAGTCCAATCTTTAGATATTTGTTAATTTGACAATATTTAAATAATTGTATAATATATACTAATTATTTTTGCCATTTTACATTTTTGGCACATATTTACATTGTTCCTCAGTGGTTGATTTTGTTTTTCCCTTCTTTTTCTTTAACTTTTTTTTTTCCTTTTCTCATCTTTTAGCTTCCATGACTTAATGACTTTTCTCAAATTATACTTTATAAGATTTTCTGTATTGTACTTTGGTGTTTTTTAAGTAATAGTATGCTTTGTTAGATTACTCGGTTTCCGATTTTTAGTGGTAGTATCTCTTATTTTTTAATTTGACTTTAATTATATTTTTATACTTTTCATCATAGTAGTTTTAAATGTAAAAAATCATAGTATTTTTATTCTTTGTGCTATTTTAAAACAGTTTATAAGTATTTTAAATTACAACCCAAGTGTCTCCTTTTGTTTTGTCCTTTGTATTTTCTTTTTTTTTTTTTTTTTTTTTTTTTTTGATATAGAGTCTTGCTCTATCCTCAGTGGTGCGATCTTGGCTCACTACAACCTCCACCTTCTGGGTTCAAGCAATTCTCCTGCATCAGCCTCCCAGATAGCTGGAATTGCAGGCACCTGACACCATGCCCAGCTAATTTTTGTAGTTTTAGTAGAGACGGGATTTCTCCATGTTTTCTAGGCTGGTCTCAAACTCCAGACCTCAAGTGATCTGCCTGCCTCAGCCTCCCAAAGTGCTGGCATTACAGGCATGAGCCACCACGCCTGGCCAGTCCTTTATATTTTCTTTGCACCTACCTCACATCTTATTTTTTCTTCTATGGTGGCATAGGCCTATTTTCATTCTTTTATCAGATCACCTTTATTGAGGAATAATTTATGAATGGTAATAAACTGCATCCATTCAAAGTGTTCAAACTGATAGTTTTGACAGTTTTATACACCTGTGACACCACCATAATCAAGACATATAGAACATTTTCATCACCTACAAGAGTCTCTCATAGGTTTTTAATTGCATATTTAAATTATTTGATACTGCCTATTGTTTACATTCATTTTTTATCCACATATTATTTCTAATAGGAGGTCCCTGATTTTGAAAGTTTTGTTTATCCCTTCAAATTTTGCTTAAAGCTAATTTATTTGGAACTATTGGAATTCTAATAGTATATGCTCATAATATCAACTCTAATGTGTTGAGTTATTTATTCATAAAGAAAGTATTTCTTAGAGTATCTTCACTCTTCCTTTTTCTTATAGAACGTTGTTATAATGATTCATTTAATTATTTAATATTTTCTGAAATGCTTTGACTACGGTACCTTTTAGAAATTGTTAGAAAACATTTAAAATGTAATCAACAGCTTTATATGTGTTATTGTTTATTCCTTTGTGATTTTGCTTGGATAAATTACATTTGGATGCATATGTTTATTATTAATTGAAAAATAATCATCTTTAACATTTATGATAAATGGAAATCAAAGATAATAATCTTCATTAATATTATTAAATATTACTTTGGAATACATACCATAGCTTATAAATGAAGAAATCAAGAAATATGCAAAAAAATTTGTAAATTTTTGTTACGTAACATTGTGTTAAAGTATCATATTTCACTGATTAATAAATGACGTTGATTGTAAGGTGCACCCTCAATAATGACTGGACTAAAAAGCTAGTAATTGTTTTTTGATACTATTCCCTTGTTCATGAAGCATTCTTTTTTGTAATATTCCCTCGTTCATGAAGCATTCTTTTTTTCAGAAATATTAAAATGTAAATATATCTTTGACTTGAGGGGATACTATATTTTAAAAATTGTATAAGGCAGGAATGTACAAGGTTGGAAATGAAACTTTAAAGCTTAAGAAGTATAAGCATTTGAAAAGGTTATTGGCAGTCTAATAATTCTAAAAGATTACATTAGAACTATCATGTTGAACCCCATTCCTTAAAAGTCAGTGAGATAGCCAGGCGTGGTGGCTCACATTTGTACTTTCAGCATTTTGGGATGCTGAGGCAGAAGGATCCTTTACGAACAGACTGGGCAATAAAGCAAGACCCCATCTCTACCCAAAGCTTTTAAAAAGTTAGCCAGACATGGAGGCACATGCCTATAGTTCTAGCTATTCTAGAGGCTTAGGCGGGAGGATTGCTTGGGCCCAGGAGGTCAAGACTGCAGTGACTCAAGATTGAACCACTGTACTCCAGGCTAGACGACAGAGTGAGACCCTGTCTCTTAAAAAAAAACAAAAAAACAAAAAAACAAAAAACAAAACATAATTGATATGTAGAATTATCTAGGTTCAAATCTATTTTCTTAAACAATCTATTTCCTAGGAACTTACACTCAAAATAGCTTCATTTGAGGTGGTGATCTGACTCTGTTATTGACAGGATACCTAAAAAGCAGTAACACAAAGAATTTCTCTCACAGTTTGAAAACTGAGTTTATAGAGGATTAGGCCCCTAAGAACCCAGAACTGGAGGTGTCTAGGTCTGAGGCAGCTCTAGAAAGAAACCTTAGCAGCAGAAGCGTGTTTCTTTATTATGGTGTTCACACATGAAAATGACCCAGTTTCTTCAGGTATTTGCTCTGGTATTTTCTCTTTAACAGGCTGATCTTCTATTTTTTGTTTTTGTTTACTTTACTAGTGACTTAACTTACGCGTCTTTCAGGCTCATTTAATATTCCTTCAAGGCGTGGACCCTATTTCTCTACCTGCCTCATGACTGCTTGCTTCTCTTCTAATTGTTTACTGCCTTATTTTTGTAATATTCCCTGGTTCAGATCTTTGAGAGAGAATCTCATTGGCTACACACTTGTCTTTTTTTTAAAGCCACTTCATGAATGTTTTCTAATCTTTGGAGAAAATCCTTTTTTAATTGACTTTGCGCTCTTGTTCCTTTCAACCCTGGCTTAAGAAAGGGAGCATTGCTTAGAATGAAAGTTGGTTAGGTACAGCCTTGTGTCCTTTAGATGGGACTAGCTCTGATCCTCACCAAAACCTTATATGGCAGGTAGTTTGTGTATTACAACTCTCAAACTTTTACCTCCATCTTACACGTTTCTATTAAGCTCCACACTAGCATTTCAGTGACTTAGTTTACAACCCCATGTAGAGGTCTCGTGGTATCTCAGTTCAACGTGTCCATAAGTGCTGTCATGTCCTTTATTCTTAACTTGTTCTTTCAGTGCTTCTGTTGCACTAAAACACTTCATGAACTATTAAGTTCCTTAGCATCTGGATACCTTTTTGTTTCTTGTAAGCCTTAGCATTATGTGTATATTAAGAATTCTGAGTGTGTTCCTGCTATTAAAGTAGTGGATGAGCCTTGAAACATCTACATATTTCATTTTCTTATGCTTTTCTTTTGAATTTCACAGAGTGATCTCATTTAAGTCTAAATTTCAGTAAGTGGTAGTATTTCTTTTCTAAAATACCATAAAATTGGAATGTACTTATATTCGATATGTTTATAATTTCAGGCAGCAAAGGAGCAGACTCAAGATTTAATAGTAAAAACCACTAAGCTTCAATCTGAAAGGTAAGTTTGTTTTCTTACAGCCACCTTTTCAATAATTTGGAGACTGGATTCAAAGAAAATTATAACTCTAAATCAAAATTAAAGCAGAATAATAAAAAACATGGTTCATAAGGTCCTAAGCTATTATATTGTCCAATAATCACTTAAGCATAAAGGAGCATTAAACTTGATATTGAGGTTAAGAGATTATTTTTTTTTGGAATAGAAGTGATGATGTATTGTTACTGTTTGCTGTGGATTTGAGAAAGGATTGCTTTTTAAAATGTAAATGTTTTCATGTTTTAATAGTTTTATTACTATTTTTTTCGCAATCATTGTCTTTTATTTTTAAGCTAGGATTTATCCTCTCTGGTATAATTAAGACTTAATTGTATCAATTCTCCTCGTAGTTTAAACAATAGGTATACTATTGGTTGATTGAATGAGTGAATAAAGGTGAGTACAGTATGGGTTTGTGTAAAGTGTTGTGTTTAATATTGCTAAAACTCATAGCAATTGTGCTAAAACTTGTTAACCATGCATCTCTCGTGTGTGCACTAGTACAGAGGGGGAGAAGCATTATATTATGATGCAGCATACCTGTCTCCTTCTCAGTAGTTGGGTACATCACTTAAACCTTTTAGTATTCTAGGTATGTCATCAGTAATATGGAGATATTACCACTTTAACTGCTCATTTTGGGGTAGGTGAATATACTATAGTATAGACCACAGGTCATCAAACTATGGCCACAGGCCAAATCCAGCTCACTACCTACTTTTGTAAATCCAGTTTTATTGGAACACAGCTATGGTTGTGTTTACACACTGTCTCTGGCTGCTTTCACCATACTGTAGCAGAGTTGTGTGTTTAGAACAGAGAACATATGTGCCTTACAAAGCCTAAAATATGTACCATCAAGATTTTTACAGAAAAAGCCTGTGACTCGTGATCCAACTGGTGTGTTTTGTAGTTCAGGTCAAGATCAATGGGTTCCCAATTATGATTTACCTATCATTATTATTATTTAAGTAGATCATAACTAGCCTTAAAAAATAAATTAGGATAAAATAAAATAGAAAATAGTTTGGGTAGCTGGGCATGATGGTGGTGCACACCTGAAGTCCCAGCTATTTAGGAGGTTGAGGTGGGAAGATCATTTGAGCCCAGGAGTTCAAGGTTGCAGTGAGCTATGATGCTGCCACTGCACTCCAGCCTGGGTGACAGAGTGTGACCCTGTATCTTAAAAATAAATAAGTAAAAATAATTTGGGTGAATATTATTTTCTGAAGCCTTTCTTTCCATTTCTGGTAATGGTTTTAAATGGTTTAATATTATGGGTCATAGTCAAGAGTTTGAAAAACACTGCCCTAGACCCATGGCAAGTGCATGACCCCCAACTCCTTAGCTTCACATCCATTGATCTTGACATTCTTTTATATTGAGCCCTTAATCCTTCTTAACACAATTCTCTTCAGACTAAGATTGATGAAAGGCAAATTATAAAGAGTACAGAGGTGTAAATTTACTTGTATAAGAGGATATCATGGGTCGTAGGGCTGCAAAGGACTCAGAGATCAACTGGAATGATCCATTGCAGTTAAAATGGTAACAAATGTAACTTACTTTTCTATCTTATAAAAACATGGAGAAAATGTGACATAATCAGCAAAATAAAATATATGTACCAATATTATTTTTAAAATACTATCTTTAATAGCACAAAAGAAGCAAACATTTTCTTTACATATATAGGAAATACATTATTGGATACTTGGAACATGTACCTTGTCTTAGACCTGTGGCTTTCAAACTACAGGTCACTAAACCTTAGGGTTTCTTTGTAAGAAGTAGAAGGATAATAGAGTTTTGGAGGTCAGATTTTCTCACTCTAATTTTAGTTAGAGCAATTTCACTTTTACTCATTTAATATAATAGGATTCCATGTAAGATTTTGTTTGAAAAAAGGGTTTGAAGCAGGAAAATATAAAAATATTGCTCAATTTTTAAGACTAGTTGAAAGATAGAATACCAAATAAAATAGTCTCTTGATTTTATCCTTCGTGCCATAGAAAAATCATAAAAAAAACTAAGTATCAAAACTTTATAAAAGTTTAATCATAATTTCATGCATTTATATCCCCATTTTTTTACTAGCTATTGTCTCTTTCACTAAAATCCACTTTCACTCATTTTGTGGTTTCTACAAGCCAAAATGAGAGCAGGTTGATGTCTTTCTCAGATTTATAGAATTGGAAATTGCCCAGATAGAAATTAATTTTAGGAAGTCTGTCCTTAAATTCTCTTTTATCTTGTCGATATTGTCATCCTGTATTTTATAGCTGGATAAACAGTTGTACCCTCACATTGGTGGTTAATTACTTGATGTTGACCTGTAAGTCAGTTTCTAGTACTTTTCAGAGCACCTTCAATCCAATCCTTTTATGTTTAACGTTTAATCAAAGACTTGAGAGTATATATAGACAACTTACTTGGAAAATTGTTAATGACACAAAGTATGCAATGTTAAGTGTAAGGTGTCAACAGAATCAAGCTCTTAAGAAAAAACGGGGCTGGGCAAGAGGGTGAATAGAATTATAAAAGGCTCAAAAAATGATGTAGGTTAAGAAAAATCAGAATTGTTTATTTAGAAGTGTAGGACTAAGAGGGACATGATGGCTGTCTTCAAATATTTGGTGTTCTTTCCCGTTTAAAAAAGGGCTAAATTTTATTATGTATTGCTGCTGAGTTTGAACTACGTTTTAAAGGAGAAATCTACCAGTGGCAAATTTTGACTTATGATAAGCAAGAATTTTCTGTCCCTTAGGATTTGAACAACTAGTTCTTCAAAGCTTTTTTGTTTAAATCACTGGAAATATTTAGTCTGATATTAGGTGTCATTGGAGCTATCTTTTATTTCAGTTTTCCTTTCTAATCTTTTATGTTACCATTCCTGTATCCCACACCTTATCCCAGTAAACATAAGAACCACCAAGGAGCTTGATAAAATGGTAAGTTTTGGCCTCCTCCTCAGAGAATCTGACTGAAAAAAGTAAACAATTATGTTTTTTGATTAATGACTCAGTAAATCTTGATTCAGGCTCAGGATTCTGCCCTTTTAACAGTATCCAGGTATTTTTATGCAACGGTCCAGAGACTATAGTTTGAAAGGCCTGGCCTTAGACAAAATATTATTCATATTTTAATTTCTTTTGTGTTATGTCCCTCTCCCCCCACCTTAATTCTGTCATCTCCTTGAAAACACATGTTAACTTTTTAAAAGTTAATCTTTTTTTTGAGATAATTATAGATTCACATGCAGTTGTAAGAAATAATACAGAGATCCAAGGTAGTCTTTACCTTGTTTCTGCCAAAGGTAACATTTTACAGAGCTATACTATGGTACCACAGCTAGGATAATTACCTTGATACAATCTACCTGTCTTATTCAGATTTTGCAGTTTTACTTGACCTCGCTGGTGTGTGTATATATTTTTATAGATTTTATTTTATCATGTGTAGATTCCTGAATGCACCACCATAGTCAGGATATAGTACAGTTCCATCACCACAAATAACTCTCCTGTGGGTGGGTAGACAGTGGTGAGAAAAGTTGTAGACTAAGCCCATGTGAGGGACGGTTGACCCTGCAAAGCAGCCAGCTCTGTGAGGAAAGGCAATGTTAAATTTTTTTATCAGAATTAAGCCTGTGCCTTCACCATAAAATTAGATTGCATTTTATATTATAACAGTTCTTTTGAAAGAAAAGCTTTCTAGAAAAACATTCCCTATTAGAAACCATGACGTGAATTCTTAGGTTAATGCTGAACACAAAAACAAGCATTATTTTAATGAAAATTGCGACTAAAACCAAGATAACAGATCAGCAATCCTGTATGCAAAGCTTATTTAAACTTTTCCTGTTCTCAATTGAATGCTTTTGTTTTCGTCTTTAGTGTAATGTGTATTACAGCTGTTTACAATTGTTGATTTGATTGTCTTTTTTTCTCCTAAACCATGAACTCCTTGAGAACAGTGACAATTTCTTATGCTCTTTTTTTGTATTTGCAGTGCCTGGTATTTTACAGATTCAATAAGTAATTTTTGAGTAAATGAATATGAAAGCAACTATAAGGTCAGGAAAGGAATATAAAGTGAAAACTGAAAAATAAGCATTGTATATTGAAGCTTGTAATATGGGGCTCTAAATAATGTATACAGGAGACAATATTAGAACATTGTGCTTCTGTTCATGTATTCTCAAAACTAAGCAAGGTTTATATTTATTATTTTAGTAAGCCTATGGAAGTGTTTTGGGCTGATATGCTTTTGGGAAGTGAAAATTCATGACATTCTAGTATCCCAAGAGCTATAGATATGATGTGCCAAGTGAACATTTGTGTGAATATATTTTAGGAAAATTGCATATCAGAAATTATGATAACCGGTCTGTAGGGGCTGGCAGGGAGTTGTTTTTTCATTTTAAAATATTATCTTTTTAAGAAGAAACTTCATTAAACACAAAGATAGCTTTAGAAATAGAAATACTGTGGGATTACTTGAGTAATATATTCTTACTCAGACAAATGTATAAATGATATGAATATTTTCCGAACTGGGTTGGAAGGAAGTCGGTCATCAGGACAGCTGAGATGCTCTAATTGATAAAGCTCAATGTAGCATTTTCTTCACAGGACTGTAGGTTAGCATTTCCCTTTAATATTTCATTGGTAGTCAGAAGATGGGTTTTACTGATGATCAGGAAAGGCTATATGTACATGAACATACCTTTGTATTTTTAAAATACTACTGAAATCACTATTATATTTTTATTATCTCTTATAAGATTTATCTCTGGACTCAGAAAAATAATCTCTGGAGAATGTTTATGTGTGTATATTTTTTTAAGTTCAATATGTGAAAATGTAAAGAATATAGGAATTAAGACAAAAACCTGAATTTTAATCAAAACCTTGGGTAAGAGATTATTAGATTTTTTATTTTGTACTGTTATTTCTTAACTTCCCTTAGCCTAAGTTTTTATGTCTGAAAGAAGGAAGGGAAAAATATCTATGCCACGGGGTTTTTGAGATGACTAAATGTTTTATGTAAGTTGCTGAACACGTTGCACGACATACATTAAAGAATGTTACCCCTCCCTTCTCCTCCCCTTTTATTGCACAAAGAAATCTATGTTACACATCTTATTTCTGCTTTTGCTCTGGCTACTAGGAAGCTTAGAACTATTTTGCGCTTAATTGCAATAGCTTTCCTCAGCTGTATTATTTACTTTCTCAGCCTTTCCCTTTATTTCTTACTATTTTAGTTTTTAATAGTTTTAATTAACTTTAATTACTTTGTAACTACATTAACTCAGGTTTTGAAATTGATGGCATAAAAATATAAAACTTTGTCTTGGATAGATGGTTTTATATTGCATGGAAAAATACATTACAGAAGCATTACCTAATAAAAGGTTAGGGGAAGGCAGGGGAACATCACATCTCCTTCCTTCTTTCTTCTCTCTCATTTGTACATTGTAGCAATATCTGAACAATCCAAAAGAAGGTATTACCAGTGACATGCTGGGTTCTAGCTCAGACAAGCTATAATAATTTTATTTCAGTCACATATATTGGACTGGAAATGAAAATTTGAGGTTAAGGCATAGTATGGCTTATACCTTTCTTGTGATTATGATGAACATGCTCTAAGGGAAACAGTATCAGGAAAAATTTGGAAATAATCTTTGGAAGTAAGTATTTCAAAAATTGGGTTTGGAGATGGATGGATTTTTTTTTTAATGAAAATTTTGTCTGATTGAATTTCCCCCATCAATACAAAAGAACTTTTTTCCCTTTCTTTTTTTTTTTTTTTTTTTTTTTGTGGGCACACTTCATTTAAAGTGGCTATTGCTGTTTATTTCCTGATTTAACTACATTTATCAACTAGATAGACTTTTTCTACATTCTCGTTCATTCTACCTAGAATTCCATTTCCCAAAATTCATTTGTTGAAAACTCATTTGTCCTTTAAGGTACCATCTGTCGTTTATGCCCATCATATATTTCAGAATATTTTACAAAATTTCAGAATTTTAGGCTATTGTGTGTGTATGTGTGTGTCACACATGCATGTACATGTTCCTTGAGAATGTATATATGTATGTACATATATATGTTTCAAAGAAAGTCTTTCTTACTTTGAAAAATACTTCAGCTTATATGAAATTTATTCCACTTTTGTACTTCACAGTTTTATTATCTGGCTGTTTTCCATGTTCACCCAGGAACCTTTACTCAGTCACCAGAAAAAAAAAATTAGTTTCTTCTTTATACTCCCACAACACATTATTCTTCTAAAATATCAGTGACATTCTGCACAGAAATAGAAAAAAATCTTAAAATTCATACAGAAATGCAAAAGAACCTGGATAATCAAAGCAATCTTGAGCAAAAAGAAGAAAGCTGGAGGCATTATACACTACCTGACTTCAAAATATACTACAAAACAGCATGGTACTGGTGTAAAAACATGTAGACCAATGGGACAGATTAGAGAGCCCAGAAATAAATTCATGCATTTACACCCAACAGATTTTCAAAAAAGGCACCAAGAACACACACTGGGGAAAAGACAGTGTCTTCAGTAAGTGGTGTTGGAAAGACTAGGTAGCTACATAAAGAAGAATGAAACTAGACCCTTACCTCTCACCGTATATAAATATAAACTCTAAATGGATTAAAGAGTAAAATATACAACCCCAAATTATATAACTACCAGAAAAAATATAGGAGAATTGTTTCATGAAATTGCACTGGGGCAAAGATTTTTTAAATATCGAAAGCACAGGTAACAAAGCAAAAATAAGATGAATATTAAGGTAACTTTCAGATATCAGTAATAGGATGATTAACAACATATTTAAATCTGTTTAGACTCAATTGGGTGATTTATCATTTGAAATAAACAGAACTTTGCTGCCACCTGGAGGATTTTTCCTTGTAAGTGTCTTTATTCAGTAGGAGCATTCAACTTTGAATTTAAAACCTCCCATCCCAAAGGTGCAAATCAAACAGAGATGGGAGATGCATTGTTCCATCTATACAAATAGTGTTTATGTTTTTTTTAATTCTTATTTGAGTTTTATTTAATTGTGGAATATTACTATCCTCTGATAATTACTAGTGAAATACTTTTATAATTTTATTTGTTTTCAGTTCTGAGATACAGAAACCAGGAATGTTGAGTTTCTGTTCAAGTAGTTCATATTGCTAACTGGCCTGTAGGTATTGATACTGATTCTGGTCAGTCCCATAGGTCCTTGACTGTGCCTTTTTCTAACTCTCAGCTAGTTTAGGTAGGTTGGATTCAGAAAATATAATTTAAGAGGTTTTTTTATTACTATGTTTTGTAGAAAAAGTGGAGAAGACCAAAGTCGATAAGTGATTTTAGCAATTTATGGATAATTAACAAAGCTCTTCTCTTTCCAACGTAAAATAAACTAATTTGATTTTTGATATGTACTTCATGTGAAAACTTTAAAGGCTTAGGAATTGTTTTAGTGACTGAAAAGAAATTGGTTGTAAATAGGTACATATGTCTCTCTTGTAAAGGCAATCTAGCAAATTGCAAGGTAAACTATTTAAGTACTTGTAAGTAGCTGTAAATTTGTAATGGAGGGACCATGCATGGACTTATTTTTTCTTTTGCATAATGATCAACTCCATTTATCATGTGCAGATATCTGAAATAGAACAATTTAGCTAATTTTATCACCTACATGTCTGGTAAAATTCTAATATTCGAGGCAGAAACAAGATTTTTGAAAATGTTGAAAATTTTTCATACCTTTGTTTTTAAAAGTTATATCTGAGATAGAATTCATTTTAAAGCTATGTAACTGCATAGGATGCTTGATTTTGTTGTTTGTTTTGAAACTTACAGCCAAAAATTAGAAATAAGAGCACAAGTTGCAGATGCCTTCTTATCCAAGTTCCAACTGACTTCTGATGAAATGATTCTTCTCCGAGGTACAAGAGAAGGACCCATTACTGAGGTATTCTGGCTCTCTGTTATAATCATTTAAAGTTTAATAGTTACAGGTAATAGAGAGAAATTGCTTTTTTGAAGCTTTATTTTTCATTAAAAAAAGTTTCATCTGAAAATATTTTTATGTTTGGAAATTTAAGATGTGTATTTTAATTTTTAATTTTATTTTTCTAAGTTATGTACTTTTTAAAAAGTCAGAGTCAATAAAGCTTATAAAAAGAAAATCTGTGTCACCTCTTTTACTCTTCCTTCCAGGTCTTTTGTCAACCATTTTCAATGTTATTAATTGCTTCTTTTGTAAATTCTATATTCTAGATCCATAGTAAAAAAGAATATGCTTTGATTTTCTATGTTAACTATTTTCTATTGATTTGCTATCGTGAACTGTGAGGATTTAGCTTTCCACCCACTCTGTGTCCTCCCCCAACACAGACAGTACACACATAAGTTCTCTTTATCTCCTTCATATGCCATAGTACAGTTAGAACATATTTTCTATTTTCTTTTTCTTTTTTTTTTTTTGAGACAGGGTCTCGCTGTGTACCCCAGGCTGTTGTGCAGTAGCATGAACACAGCTCACTGTAACCTCAACCTTCTGGGCTTAAGTGATCCTCCCACCTCAGCCTCCTAGGTAGCTAGGATGACAGGCATGCACCACCACTCCTGATTTTTTCTTTTTTTTCTTTTTTTTTTTTTTTTGAGATGGAGTCTTGCTCTGTCACCAGGCTGGAGCACAGTGGCGCAGTCTCGGCTCACTGCAAACTCCACCTCCTAGGTTCAAGCAATACTTCCGCCTCAGCCTCCCAAGTAGCTGGACTACAGGTGCGTGCCAAACGCCTGGCTAATTTTGTGTGTGTGTGTTTTTAGCAGAGACGGGTTTCACCTTGTTGGCCAGGATGGTCTCGATCTCTTGACCTGGTGATCCACCCTCCTCGGCCTCCCAAAGTGCTGAGATTACAGGCACGAGCCATCACGCCCTCCCACTCCTGATTTTTTAATTTTTATGTTTAGTAGAGACAGGATCTCACCGTGTTGCCTGGTCTGGTCTTAAACTCCTGAGCTCAGGTGATACCTTGGCCTACCAAAGTGCTTGGACTATAGGTCTGAGCCATGGAACCTAGCCATACATTTTCCATTTTCATTACAATGACATTACAGTGATTGCATGTTCTTTCTTTTATAATTATGTGTCTTTCCTTGAATTAGAAATTGCTTATTTTTTCATCTAATTAATATTTAAAACTATACCATCCTTTTCAAACTGACTGACAGAATTATGAAACCTCTCAAAATGTTAAATAACAAGAAAAGGTTTCATTTCTTTTTTTTTTTCCCCCCCTTTAAGACATTCAGTTTTCCAGAAAGGAATCTTTTGGTCTTCTAGCTGGGAAGAAGTGTAAACTTAAGCCTATTGTCCTCATTCTGGGATCAGAGGGCAAGTAGGGTTCTTGAGGTGGGGAAGGGTTCTTACTGAGCATCTCTTAGTAGGTATTACTTTCACTGGCTTGGCTAAAACGTAACCACTCATTTGTGTGTAGAGAAGTAAATAGGTGAGAGAATTAATAGAGATATTACTTATTAGTATTTACTGCCCTTGTGTTTTGAGGAACTTTGCACAATTAAAATGACATATCATTTTTCCTCCTCTTGATAGAAATTAGAAAAGGAAGGTTGTTATTATTAGTTTTATTAATCAAAGAAAAATAACACATTCATTATTTTCATGGGTGGAACACTATTTGTGGCACTCTGAAACCTAAGCCTCCAGTACATTTAAATGTCAAGCCACAGTTTGGCCCTTGTCACCTCCTATATATTTAACTTTGCATTCTACTTTTGGATAAGGGAGCAAGAATGAGTATACAACAGATATATAAAACATCATCTTCAGCAATAAGAATGCCAGGTTTAAGTAATAAGATGTGTAATACTTAGTATGTTTTTTTTTAATGTAATTTTTAGTTTTGCATTTCTCTCTCACTAAACTACATACACTTCTTGAGGGCAATTATTTTTATCTTTATAAATTTTGTATTCCTGGCAACTGTCAACACTATTTGACACATAGTAGGCACGGGATTAATATATTAATGTGTCTTAAAATGTGAATAAATACCTGTTACACCTTCTATAAAAATTTAGAGAAAGTTAAGATCAGTATAGGAAGGCTTCATTAGAATAGGTGAAATAGTTTGTTTACCCTTGGTAGTGACCTTTAACTTTTAAATAATGTAATTTTACCTGAAGCATGGACATAAAGTCACATTCTTAATTTTAAAGGATTTTTTCAAGGCACTGGGAAGAGTAAAACAGATTCATAATGATGTCAAAGTTCTCTTGCGTACAAATCAACAAACGGCAGGGTGAGTAACTGCTCATTGAACTAATTGCATTGCTGCTTACGTTTCCAAAATTTTAAAGATATTCTAGAGTGTTTGTGAAACTGTATAACATTTTGTGAAATAGGAGTTTAATCTTTATTTATCTTTAGAGAATGGTGAGATTATACCCTGACAGGTTTAGGCTAAAACAGTAGTTGATAAGTAAGTGATGGTTAAAATATGACATTTAATTGTAGAAAATTATTGAAAAATCATTTCATAAAATGATAAAAAGTTAATATGCTGTAATATGTAATATGCCAAGAAAATAATTAGGTACTTAGATGTAGCTATTGACTAAAATTTAAATTAAAATAAATATTTAATTTTTTTTAGTTTAGAAATTATGGAACAGATGGCCTTACTTCAAGAAACGTCTTATGAAAGACTTTACCGATGGGCTCAAAGTAAGTGATTTCTTTCATGTTGTCTAGATTCATAAACATTTGTATTTGATTTTTAAAATTGTACTTGGGCTTTATTTGATGTATTTTGATTTTAGTAATCAAATGTATTTTTTAAAAGAAAAATATTTGGTTTTGATTTTAAAATTTTTACTTGGTCTTTATTTGATATCTTTTGATTTTAGTAATCAAAAGTATTTTTTAAATAAAAATAATATTTGTATTTGATTTTTAAAATTTTACTTGGTCTTTTATATATTTTGATTTTAGTAATCGAAAATATTTTAAAATAGAAAAACTTTACATTTCAACATACCTTTTTTGTGTTTGTATCATGAGCAGCTGCTATCAGCCAAGTGGTGTGCTTGATTAAGGATGACAATAAAAAAATGAAGACAATATTTCTGCCCTAGATTATCTTAAAGCAGATCAGGAATCTCTTGTTGTTTACGTAACTGTAAAGTTATAAGTGGTAAATTAATTTTCTGCTGTTGCTGTAGCAAATTTTTACAAACTGAATGGCTTAAAACAACACATATTTGTTGTCTTACACCTCTGTAGGTCAGAAATCAGACATTGTTCTCACTATGCTAAAATCTAAATATTGACAGACTTGCATTTGTTTCTGTAGGCTCTAAGAGATAATTTGTTTTCTTGCTCCTTCAGTTGGCAGAATTCAGTTCCTTGTGTTCATAGGATTGAGGTCTGTGTTTTTTTGCTGGCTGTCACTGAGGGTTTTTCCTAGTTTCTAGATGCTGCCTGCATTCTTTGGCTTGCAGCCCCTTCCTTCATCTTCCAAGCCAGCAATGTGAGGTCACGTCATTTTCTCACGTTTGAATCTCTCTTGCCTCTTCTTCCATCTCATATCTCTGACTAACTTTTCTGCCAGCCTCTTCCATTGTGAGGCCTGTGTGATTACTTTAGACCCACTTGGGTAATCTGAGAAAATCTCTCCACTTTAAGGTCTACTACCTTAATTTCATCTACGAAGTCCTTCTTACCATGTAAGGTGACATATTCACAGATTCCAGGGATTAGGGTGTGGCCCTTTTTGGAGGGTCCTTATTTTGCCTATGAGGAATGCTTTATTTTCTTTAGTTTTGTTTGAAAATGTTTCAATAGATGTTTTGCAAAATAGCTGGTTGAAACGAGAGAAGTTATTTAAAACAGGCAAGCATGGAACAGGAGCACATATTTTAATAGGTGTTACTAACCAATGCAAGGGGTTGGAATTTAGTTAACCTATTACTCCTGTACTATACTGTGCAAATGGAATTCTCTGGTCTGGTTGGTTAAGTCTTTATCTCTAATACCTGTTTGTTCTTCTGCCTCTCTCCTTTACATTGATTGCTTCCATCTGGAGTGTTATCTGCCTTTCTCTTATAGTATCTCATTCTATTTTTTTCATGTATGTCTTATCTCACAAGTTAGTTTTCTACTTTTTCAAAGGCAAGGACATTGACTCAGATGTCTTTGTGCTCCCACAACATCTTACATAGTGATTCCCTATTGTGGGCTTCTGTCTCCCGGAGACTATGAAGTCATTTTAAGATGTCTTCAATTCTATGTATGCATATGGGTTTTTTTTCAGTCAGTGCATGCTAGAAAGTATACTGCTAGTATAAAGTCCTTGTGTACCAAAGATTGGGAATTTCTGATAAGCTCTAAATTCTTTGAATGTATAGGCACTGGTGAGCATTTTATAGAAAACATTAGAATAATAAAGAAAAGTTGGTGTAGAGATTTTTAAGAGTTTAAAATTCAAACCATTTTGAAATTATAGTTTTATTACTATGTATTAGTTAACCACATTAACATTTTTAGCAAACTGCTTAAAGATTGTGTCCCAGGGAAGGAATTGATAATATGTTTTTAGTATTCCTCCCTGCCTCCCTAATACTGTCATGTATATGGCAGTTATTAGGAAATATTTGTTCGTTGATTGGTTTTTTCAGGACTCTAGTGTTTATTATAGTAAAATACAGCTTTGGGGCATACTGATAGCATATGTGGTCATTTAAAGTTACATACCTTCTTAAGCTTGACTCTTTAGTTTGGTTGACAGCATAAATTTGTTTTAGATTGGTGTATTCTCTAGGTTTTTCTGAGGATTTTTTTCATGGGGTATTTGCTTTAGAATTTAGACTCCTGGAATACAACAGACATAATAAACACCAAACCTGAATTTAACAAAAGTTGTAATGTTAATTATTTTTCAGGTGAATGTAGAACATTGACACAAGAATCATGTGACATATCTGCAGTATTGACACAGGCAATGGAAGCCCTGCAGGACAGACCTGTCTTATATAAGTTGGTGACTTTTTCTTAATTAAAAAAGAAAGCCTACTTTTCTTTTGACAACTTATTTAAATTTCAGTATTATCAAAAGCATGTATAATAGTTTGAGTAATATTTATAATAATTTGCAACAATATTGTTTACCTTAACTTGAATTTGTTTCATGGGGCATCAGCTTATTTGAATATTACATACTATAGAATACAAAATGGAAAGAAAAAACAAAGTCTCTGTACAGTATCTAGACTACCTCTTATTTATATAGAGGTTCAGTGTTTTTTCCCCTGTCATCTCATTAACTCCCTTGGAATTGTAAGTAACTAAAACTCATGTATTAATCCTTCCCTACAGAGATTGAAGTCATATCAGGACTGAGAAATATGGTTATGCAGAGCTGAAAAAAAGAATATTTAATATCAAGGTTCTATTAATAGGATTTAGGAAGACAGGACCCAGCTCTTTGATCTGGTAATTTATGCCAACCAAGAGCTGTGTGGTAATGCTTTGGATAAGAATTTAATGCATTTTAAATTTACTGATATTTTTATTACTTTATATTTTAATTGTATTCTCTTGATTTTTATAAAATAAAAAGTAAATATTTAATGCCTGGAGTAGTATGAGCATAAACTTTTGGTAGATGTAGGAGTTGTTGATGATATTAATAATTCTGAAAACAGGAAACCAGGGGACTCTTACCAAGGTAGTGCATCTTGTTCTGAATCATCCCTTTCAGTTGCTCCTTATACTATTTTTAGAGGACATCCCCATTACTTTCTGATTCGAACACTGCTTATCCTATCATAAGGTTACAGAACACAAATGCTGAACAGCTGTGTAAAATAATAACACTCCAATGCTATCTACTGAGTACAATGTGTTAAGCACCATTCTAAGTTCTAGAAACACAGCTTCAGTAGAGCACTGCCCTCAAACTGCTTTATTTTATGGAACCAGAGATAGACAAATGCATTTTAATTGAATATACTAATTGCTAGTCTAGAAGTCATGTCCCAGATGCTGTGTGGCTCAAGCATTCTGGGATAGGGGAAAGAGATGAACATCAGTGAAAATTTCCTAAGGAATAAGGTATAAAGTGAGTTCTGAAGGCTGAATAAGCATTTTCCTAGAAGAAAAAGAACAGTTTCCAGGTTGAAGGAACAGTGATGCTAAGGTATACCTTGAGAGAACATGCACCTCTGGGAAATTCATTGCAAAAGCTTGCTCTGGGCTATTGAATTACAAGCAACAGCTGGATCATAATAGCCCTGAATGTTATGTGTATACATATGGTAAGATAATGTTTATTATTGATCAGCAGCTTAGCAGTTTATTCCTGCTTTGAAATTTCTTTCCCAAGTTTTTCACTTTAACATATTGGCATTGATTTTGAGTCTTTTAGCACTTAAAACATTTGGTGTTTGATTTTAACAAGTGTTGCATTGTCTACAGATTAATATTTATTCACAAGGTTAATCTTAAAAAAAAAAGCCTTTGTGTGTTTTGGGCACCTGAAAACAGCAGTTGACTTCTGCCATGCAAATGCATTTTCACTGAGTTTTATAGTTTTTTTTTTTTTTTTTGAGACGGAGTTTCACTCATGTTACCCAGGCTGGAGTGCAATGGCGCGATCTCGGCTCACCGCAACCTCCGCCTCCTGGGTTCAGGCAATTCTCCTGCCTCAGCCTCCTGAGTAGCTGGGATTACAGGCACGCGCCACCATGCCCAGTTAATTTTTTTTGTATTTTTAGTAGAGACGGGGTTTCACCATGTTGACCAGGATGGTCTCAATCTCTTGACCTCGTGATCCACCCGCCTCGGCCTCCCAAAGTGCTGGGATTACAGGCGTGAGCCACCGCGCCAACTTGGAAAGGAACAATATTAAATGGCTTATGATGTAGGCTCTTAAGTCAAATTTCCTTGACAAGTCCTTACACCTTTGTAAGCTTCAGTTTCCTTAGCTGTAAAATAAGGATAATAATAGTGCCTATTTTACAGGGTTGATGTGAAGATTGTTAGATTGTTCACTTAAGGTACTTGGTGTAATACTTGGTACATCCTGAGTTTTACATATTATTTTTGTTTTGAGAGGAGGTGACTAGAAAGCTGTCAGTTAAGGAGGGGTGTTTTTGAAGCCTACATGGCAATCAGGGAAAAGCTTGAAAGATCAAGAATGAAACTATAATAGAAAGGCAAAGAAGGTTTATCTGTGAAGGGCGTATGCTAAGGAGCAGGGGGCACTAATGGCAATTTGGAAGATTTTTAAAGACATTTAGAAGCTGAGGGAGAAAGCAAGTTTTTAAGACCAGATGATTAGGTCAAAATGAATACTAAAAAACAGAAAATTGTCCTTTCATTAAGTAATTATCTATTTTTCAAGTAGTAGTTTCCTTATATTTAGGAAAAACTTAATAATGTATCATGTTAACCACCAGATGGCACTATATGAACTTAATAAGTAATGCATAAAAGCTTCGCTGTCCATTATTGTGTCTCAAATAATTAAGTATTATATGCAAGAAAAATGTCAATTATTGAAGTCCCTGGGGAAAGTTGCCATACTCATTATTTCTTATGTATTATATAACTGGAATGCTAATGCATTATTGACTTTTAATAATAAATCAAGTACAATTATAAATGGAAGTGAAAAAATTGGATAATTTCTTCTTTCCTTTGGTAAGCCTTCAGAATATGAGTTATTTTAAAATGTAGTTATATGTACAGTACTGATTTTTTTCTTTATGTATTTGTTGTATTTCAAAGAAGCACTTCTATATTATTGTCTTTCAATTTGCATTTTGATCAAAATTTTTCTTCTTTTAATTTGCTTTTTGACCAGAATTTTTAAAACTGTAGCTAAACACAATTTTTAAAATGAGACTTCAAATTTTAACTAGAGGTATTTGAGATATTTACATAATTTGAACATTCACTCTTGAAAAGTTCCATTTTGAATTTTGATTATTGTTGGAAAAATGTCTGATTTTGGTCTTTGTCTCTGGAAACAATGTTTCATGTCTAAAGATATTGAAGCTTCATGAGGCTTATGCTGTTTTTGCTTTATATTTGTTCTATAGGAGGACTGACATTAATTTTAATGTTTATTGATATTTTATAGTATTAAACAGATTAAATTCCAGGGTTTGTCAGGCTTGGTAATTTACCCCCTATTTAAAATCCCAGTAGATTCACTGGATTTTGTTACAACTGTGGTCCCAGTGAACAGTGCTAGAAACAAACTATGCTATTTATTTTTACTATGGTCAGTAGGATCTTGGGAATGAGGATTAGTTTAACATATTTAAAAAGTTAAATGTTTGTGAATTTTGTGCTGTGATAAGGAGTCATAAGTTCATTATTTCAGAGACTCAGATGATCATTTAAAAGAAGGCATTCTTCATATTAAATGATTTATAATTTGAAAACATGAGGGAAAACGTAGCAATGAGTATTTTGGTTCTAATTTGTTTAAAACTAGAAATTAAATGCAAGGCAATTATGCAATTTAGCAAAACTTAGCTGGATATTGGGCTTTCCCTTTTCTGTACTAGTATGTCACCACAGGGAATCTCAAAACCATTTCTTTTTAACTGAAAACAAACACACAAAGAACCATAGTCTAGTTAGTAGTAAACAGTCCTCGAAAAAGGTTCATATTCCTAACTATTTATAACTATTCGGCAATTCTAGACTTTCTCTGCGATTTGGAAATAGTCCGTCTTTTACGTGCTTACCAAAATGTGGATTTTTTTTATCCAAGTAATACCATATAAAAGAAAGCTGTGTAGCCTAAGATATTAATTATTTGGGGTATCCTGGGAAGTTTTGGTAATTTTTGTTTATATGTAGATTATTTATATCATTCTGAAAATTTAGCATGGTAGAATATTTTTAAAGATTTAGAAGTTAATGAATCTAGAATCTGCTGACATCAGACTGCTAAAATGTATTTTGTTTGTCTTTATAATTTTAAAATTGAAAGAATTTTCAGTTGAGGGATATTGTCAGGAATGGGTGATAATGGGAAATAAGTCTTAGTAGAGTCAAAGAAATGGGCACTCTAGACAGCTCCAGGCTATTTTTATAAATTGAATCCCAAATTGTCCTATTCCCAAGTTAAAAACTTTCCTTCCTTCCCTACTAGTTCCTTCACCTTAGAAAGCCTTTCCACACCTTTTCAATTATAATAGGTGACTTCTTAATACATGTTTTTTAAAAAGGTATTTGCTTGTGTGTGTGATTGGTCAGTAAATTTAAGGAATATCTATCATGTCTAATACTGGAGTCAAAAGAAGCTTTTAAAAATGGATAGCAATTTTGGAGCAAATTTTGGTGATAAATTGTGATAGTATATGTAAAGAAGACTTTTTTAATGTAAGAAAAAAATCTTAATTTTTGGATTGCAAAAGTTCTTTTATTTTTTCTGAGACAGTGTCTTTCTCTGTGGCTCAGGCTGGAGTACAGTGGAGCAGTCATTGCTGACTGCAGCCTGAACCTCACAGGCTCAAGTGATCCTCCTTTCTCAGCCTCCTGAGTAGCTAGGACTATAGGCATGTGCTACCACGCCTGGCTAATTTTATTTTATTTTTTTTAATAATGAGAGTCTCATTATTTTGCCCAGGCTGGTCTCAAACTCCTGAGCTCAAGTGACCACCTGCCTCAGCCTCCCAAAGTGCAGGGATTACAGGTGTAAACCACTATACCCAGCCTTGGATTGCAGAGTTCTAATTATAATCAGTTTTTGAGAACTTTTATGACTTTATGTAAAACAGTACAGCATCATATTTTTAGACTGCAAATATATATACGTACTAAAATATGCTGAAACCTAATATACTGAATATATTGAAACCTAAAAAGTTAAGTTTTCCCACGTTGGCTTGATTTTCCTAATTTTACTAAGTCCATTGCCTTATCACTTATTACTGCTGCCCCTGCTTTAGTCCCAAATCCCAGCATTGTTTTTAGGAGGAGTAAAAGATTTTACTTTTTGATTGAATTTTCAATGTGCTGAAGTTATCTTTTAAATGTTTTTTCTTCTTTGAAAGCAATGTTGCTTGACAGAGTGCCTAAAGGAGCTTTAGGTATTTGCTTGTCTCGAAATTGCATAAATAGTCTGATATAGCCACCAGAAACAAAGAACCCCAACCATTTTTTATATAACTTGTTTCTTCTAGATATACCTTAGATGAATTTGGAACAGCCAGGAGAAGTACAGTTGTTCGTGGATTTATTGATGCGCTCACAAGAGGGGGCCCCGGAGGTACACCTAGGCCAATTGAAATGCACTCTCATGACCCTTTGAGGTATAGTAATCAAACAGCAGAAGATTTGATGTTTTTACCAAAGGAATCTTTATTAATATTTAGTTTTCATTAGGTATGTGGGAGATATGTTGGCTTGGCTCCATCAAGCTACTGCTTCTGAAAAGGAACACCTTGAAGCTCTCTTAAAGCATGTCACTACACAAGGTGGGTCCACCGACTGTATTGCTAATGCCTAAATACAGAAAATAACACAAACATCTCTGTTCCTGTTCTTGTTGCCATCTTCTTCACTTAGATAAACACCTCGATGGTACAATAAGCATCCTGATAACTCTTCTCTTTTCTAGATTCTCCCTCATTCTGCTAATAGACTTTCTCTTCCATCACCTTTGTCCTCTCACTCAACTGTTCAGTTTTATAGTAAACCCTAATGACCTTTCATGTCCAGCCTAGACTCCTCTGTGGCACTTTTATGAAATTTCTGGAATATCTAGCATGCATTATCTCAAATCTTCTGCATGACACTTTAAACGTACAAGGTGATATTATCTTAATTTTATCTGTGAGTAAACAGGCTGAGTGAGTTGTTTAGGGTCATTAGCTACTGATTCTTTCATTTCTGCTACCCAGCCTCTTTTTTCATTCTCATGGCATTGTTTTAAAATTTTACAACAGTTATTATATCTGTTAGTATGTTTTTGCATTGCTGTAAAGGAATACCTGAAGCTTGGTAATCTATAAAGAGGTTTAATTTGACTCATGGTTCTGCAGGCAGTATAAGAAGCATGGTGCCAACATCTGCTTCTGGTGAAGGCTTCAGGAAGCATAGAGTCATGGTGGAAGGCAAAAGGGGAAGAACTAGCATGTCACATTATGATTGAGGGAGCAAGACAGAGAGATGGGGATGTGCCACACACGTTTAGGCAACACTGACTATCATGTGGACAGCACCAAGCCATTCATAAGAGATCCACTCCCGTGACCCAAACATCTCCCACCGGGCCCCACCGCCAACATTGGGAATTATATTTCAACGTGAAATTTAGAGGAGACAAACATCCAAACTACATCACCGTATATACTAAATGTACTTAAAATTTTTGTCTTGATGTCAAGGAAGACAAATAACTGTAGTTGAGAGTTGCTGATGTCTTGTTTGCAGAATTCCAAATCTTCTTAGTTGTGATTACCTAAAGAGGCCTGTTTTAGAGTTTGAGAGTTTAGTGTATGATTAAAATATGTCTTATTTTTGATAGGAAGTTAAGAGAGACACTGTGGCCTGGTATCACTTGACTGTTTTACACAGCTCAGCCACACATCTCTGTGGTCCGCATTACACAAAAGGAGTCAGTGTTACAAATTGGTGGTAATACTAACCTCATAGCTTCTAACTCTTCAGTATCAAGATTAGACTCAGCATATATGTTAGATTGGCACAAAGTGTGCATTGTTAGGCTCTCTTTCTATTATTATTCTCATTACCTAGTTTAAATGAATGTGTTTCTTTAAAGATGTTTTAGAAAAGTATATATAAGACAGTATTAAGAGGTGGGAAAAAAATAGATTGTAGTTAGATGGTTACAAGCAATAAGTGTCAAATACCCAGTACAGAGCTTGATAAATAGTTGGTGTTTAGAAAATACCAGTTTTTCTATTAGATTTCAGGGTGTGTTTTTCATCTTTAAACCCTCAGTGTATATGCTAAGCAGCATTGATTGGAATGAGATGTTTGTAAAACAAATGCTAGTACATTTTGGCATCACTTCATTCAATTAATACATTTCACACTCTTTTTTTTCTCCCTCTCTCTCATAAATTTAATCTTTTCCACAAAGAAATAATATTCATTTTAGTAACTCAAAGTCAAATGAATTAACAAGGCTTTCTAGAAACACGTTAGGTATTATCACAATTAGTAATATGTTAACACAATTAGTAATGGCCCAAAAGATATCAAACTTACTAAAATATAGTTATAGTTATTTTAAAAGTTATTAGTACTATTAATTTTATGTATTATATATTATTTGTTAGCTTTTTGAACTTACATGAAGCAAGGTATAATATGGAAACAAATATTAATGTATTAATTTTAGGTGTTGAAGAAAATATTCAAGAAGTTGTTGGGCATATCACTGAAGGTGTGTGCAGGCCTCTAAAGGTAAAACATTTTGTTTTTACATATGCTATATGGTTCCTGGTTAAATTATTGCTTTATTTATGGGAACTTAAGAAACTGATACCAGCTCAAACACAATCTATACTTTTTTCAAATTAACACAGTAATGTAGGCTAATAAGAAACATTTTAAAATAATTGCCAGTTTTCTCTCTGAGAAAGAAAATTGGAAATATTCATAGTTTTCATATATTGACGTATTTTTTACAGATTATGTTTCTTGTAATTTTTCTTACTCAGTTGAGAAAAAATCTATTAAATTTAAACAGTGAATCTATGAATTCTTAACAGAAGTTCACTAAGAATATTTTATTTACTTGATTGCTTCAAGCATAGTAGATTTTTTGCTTATCATAGCAATGAATAACTATTAATTCAAGGATAAAATATGTATTGCGATTATCATCAATACTATTTATAGTACAAGGAACAGAATTTAGAATCAGATTTGAGTTAGACTTCCCATGTTGCCACTTAATTGTGTTTACTTATTCCATTTGCTTAACTCCTCTGCGTCTGAATTATGCTCCCATGAAGCCTGTCTATTAAAACAGCCATCATCCAGGGTTGTTGTGAAGATAACTGGGTAGATGAAGTACATAGTTTATGACACTTACGAAGAATTTAGCAGATGGTAAATACCTTTATTTTCCTATACAGGTATTAATATTTATAGACTACTTGGCAATTGTTGGTTTACTTTCCCTTGTTGATTGACTTCAGTTTCATACAGATACATTGAAAACCTGAAGTTTAATAATTTTTATCAAGAACTGAACTTTAAAGTAAATTTTATTTTATTTCTCAGGTTTTTTGGGTTTATGTGTTCCAGGGAACGAAATCTCAGATGACACACTTTGTGACAATTGATTATATTGACAAATTTAACTGTTGCTCTAACTTGATCTCATAGGACCTAACTATATATTCAGTAAATAAATGGCAATGTATTTTGAAATTATCTCACTTATTTCTCCCAAATGAAATATTTACTTGTCATAGTTTGATATAGTCATATATAACTTACATAAATGTTGCTTATTTTGTATACTGGCAGTTACTAGAAAAATAGAAGAGAAGGAAGAATAAAATGAGATTTATTTTGCTATGCTTTTATACCTTTTTATAACTTCATATAGTTAAATAAAACTCCTAGTCACTTTGTAAATAAATTGTACTTTATCTGCTTTACCTTTCCCCCTTCCTTGCTTATGTAACTATTTTTCTTTTTACAGCTTTTCTTTCTTTTTAAAACAATTTTTTTTAAATTTATAATTTTTGTGAGTACATAGTAGATATATGCTTTTCATTTTCTTTTTAAAAAGTAATTTTATAAATATCATAATTTTAGAATCCTTATAACGGACTTTTCAGTTTCCTGTCCTGGTTTGAATAAGAATTGTTATTACATTAAAAATGTTTAATCCCAACCACTTATATAAAGACATTATATACTGAAGTCTGCCTTTGTTTCAAAATGCACTTAGAAATCCTTATTTCATCTTCCTTCAATGTAAATGCCCAGAAAGATGTTAATGACAATTGTAAGACATTATTGTGATCTGCTGACAAATTTAAATATAAGATGCCAAAGGTAAAGAAGACCCTAGTAAGCAGACAAGTATTTTTTTGTTGTAAAATGAAGAAAAATTCCTTTTCTGAAATGACAGAAACTTCAAATCTTTCCATATGATGATAATACGTATTGCATACTTCAGAGAATATTTAGCACGTGTTCACAATAGTTACATATCAAATTAGCTTGATAGTGATATATAATCCAGCAACTCTTAGACCCTCCCTTCCTTATATATTGACAGACAGTGTTATACTATTTTAAGAATTTTCTTTCTGTATGACCTCATTTGGGTATATTTTCAGTGATATAGGTATTGAGAAAAATTTCTACTTTAACATTTTATTTTGCAGTTATAATTCTAATTTTTATAGTGATCAATCTGCTTTTATGCCCACTCGTACGAAATTTCTTCTTCCTAATTAATAGCAACTAAACTTTTTTAAATGATATATGATATTGGATGTTATGACTGCTTTTCTGTTCATCATCATTCTTTGTAGAAATGAATTTTTTTTAGAATGGGAGATTTTTATTTTTAGAAGCATAAAGAAAAGGTTATAGTGGTAATGGGAAATAATCCTTAAGAAACTGTATATTTGATTTACTCTACCCTGTTTAATCTTTTCTTTGTCTTAGGAAAGTGAAACATCATAGGTAGTAGATTAAATACTTGTAAATGTATGCATTAAGATAAGATCTGTAAACTTATTGCCAGTTTAAAGAATTGGTGCTCTAAGTTTAAGTTTACGTATGTTGTGTAGCGGGTACCATGGCTCATCAGCATCAAGCCTATTACTTTGTACACGTCTTTACTCCAAAATTGTAACTAGAAAAGATCAGAACTAAAATATTAAAAAAATTTTTCAAGTCTATGGGTATAAAGTCCTTCTTTTATGTAAAATTAGATTGCTGAGAGATTACCAGCTCTCATCTGAATTTTCTCTTCTAATAAAAACTTCAGTGTAGTGAATGCTACAGACCTTAGATTACGGTGGGTTCTATGAAAGCAGATATATGTAAAAGATTAATGGCAGGGAAAATAAAGCTGAACATTGTACACAAGACAGTCGCTGGGCCCTCACATTGAGGTATACATAGCATCAGATGTCTACCCTGAGCAGCTATCTGTGATATTAAGGCAAAGGAGGTTCATCATCACCTTTTTCAGTCCTCCCTTCTTCCTGTATCTCCTTCATGAACACAACCCTCTCTCTCTCTCTCTCTCTCTCTCTCTCTCTTTCTCACTTTTGCTCCTAGCTCTCTTGCCTTGGAGAGGAGAGCCACTGTTCTGTCTTTTAGCTCTTCCCTACCTTCTCTGCTGTCAGGTGCCTAAAGCCCATTTTGCTACTTTTAATATCTCCATTTGTCATTGATGCCGCATCTCACAATGTAGCTAGGATTTATGGAGTGCTTATGATGTACCAGGGTCTGTTCCAACGCACTTTATATCTGAGCCATTATTCTCATTTCTGCTCTCCAGCTCTGCTAATGATTTTTGCCCTATACTGTCATCACAGTGATAATTGCCAGCCAGTTGCTGCTACCACCACTTCTTTAGTCTGTTTGACCTTTTTTACTTTTTACTTTTTGTTTCTCTTGTCTTTGTTGTTTCTCCTGTGACTGTTGGCTTTTGCTGAAAATGGTCAGCCTCTTTTATAGCCCTCATAAGACAGAGTGTTTCTTTCTGTATGGCAAACAAAGCATTCTTGGTGTATTGTTTGTCAATCTCCTGATTTTCTAGCCTTTCTCTGTTGTATTTTGTATTGTAGCTGTTGTATTCTGTATTGCCTCTTTCCCTCAAAACCTTTGTGTTCATGGAGAGAGATGGTAATTGTTTTTGGTTTTTCTTCCTTCCTCCTTCCCTTCCCTCTTTGCTTTTCCTTTCTTTCTTTCTCTCCCCTCTTTTCTCATTTTCTTTCTTAAGGGAGTTAGAACTAAGAATATTTTCTGGATGTCTCAAAATTATGGAAGGCAGGTGGCCAGACACCTGAGATGGTGTTTAAAATCTGCTAGTGAAGAGCTGTTTGCCTACAATTAACATTTTTTGTATTTTGCTGTGATAATTATATTAAAATTAAGAAAATACCACTTTTATTGATATATAATTTAAGTCACTGTTAAGGCCTTGATTTCAAAATAAATTATAATATGGAAAAATACATTTTTAAAGTTCAAATGCCACTCATGATCCATGGTATTGTGGTAGTCAGTATCACCTATACCAACAGATGAAACAGTTTCATAAACATAGTAATATAAATTGATTTCTGTAATATAAGAGGTTTTTGTGTGCACATATAAAATCTCATTTTAGCAAATCACATTTGTTTTATGAAATATGCCAAAATCTAAATACAGAGAAAGCACAACTTTTTTTTTTTTTGAGACAGAGTCTTGCTCTGTCACCTCTGTCGCCCAGGCTAGAGTGCAATGGCATGATCTCTGCTCACCACAACCTCTGCCTCCTGTGTTCAAGTGATTGTCCTGCCTCAGCCTCCAGAGTAGCTGAGATAATGCACGTGCCACCATGCATATCTAATTTTTTGTATTTTCAGTAGAGACAGGGTTTCACCATATTGGCTAGGCTGGTCTCCAACTCCTGACCTCGTAACCTGCCCACCTCTGCTTCCCAAAATTCTAGGATTACAGTTGTGAGCCACCATACAAAGTTCAACTTTTAAAAGCATTTATTAAACATCTGTTGTGTGTATACGGCTCTATTAGATGCTACAGAGATGTAAAACCGGCAGAAGACATAATGTCTATACTGTGTTCGTATTCAGAAACTAGGAAAGCAAGAAGATACAATGTAAGCAGTAGCTTAAGGGCAGATACAATATTTAAGTAAGCATTTATTCGTGTAGTTTAGATTGTATTCATTAATGAGAGAATATAAGATCAGTGAGGGATGGAATTTAATTAGAAAAGATTCACATTTGCTAAATCTTGAGGCATATCAAGTTAATCTTGAACCAGATCTGATGTTGCCCTGGTAGTATTATAATTTGGCAAATATGTCGGTGCTAATTCAAGATTGGTCTACTTTTCTATTTTTTTATTAATAGACAAACTTGATATAATAACTTATAGACAGGAATTTATTTTATTTTTTAATTGAATATTTGGCAATAAAGTAGTATGTTTTCATTGATAATCTGTTTTAGGGATGTAGTGGCTGCCTTTGCAATTCAGTATTGAACCAGATTCCATTATATACTGGTGATAAATCTCAAAATGATCTCACTATGTTGATATTTCTGGTAACGACTGCCTTGAGCCAAATTCTGCAAATAATGGATGAGTTTTTTTTGTAGAGCATATCTATGTTAAAATGTTTGTTACTTTACCATCTTCTATGACTTATTACTCAGAAATTATTTAGAAGGCATTTTGTGATCTCTGCAATAATAAAATTTTATCTTTGTTATGTTATTTATACCATATGTTATTAATGAAGAAAGATTATACCTTTAAGAAATGTTTAATTTCTTCTCACATATTTTAATAGGTTCGAATTGAGCAAGTAATAGTTGCTGAACCTGGGGCAGTTTTATTATATAAAATTTCTAATCTCCTCAAATTTTATCACCATACAATCAGGTAAGTGGAATGGCAAAATGTGATTGCTAAATCCCATGTGATATTTTTTTCAGTTAGAGTGGAGTATAAGTTTGTTTTACATTGTGTATGGTAAGTATACAGTAAGTATAGACAAAGCGTAACTAGTAGAACCACCATGCCATGTAAATCATTGTATGTATATTATCCATGCTATGACTTGAGGTCTGTTATTTCCTTTTTCCTTTTCTCTCCAAGCTTGACCCCACCCCCACACACACACACAACTTATATAACAATGTAAGTCTATCATGTAAGTCTTTATTGAGTCTTCCCGCATTAGTAAAAGACTCCAAGGCTACTAAAGTAACTGTATCATATACTCACAATAGAGCATAATGAATGAAATGTTCTATTCTGGATGTAAATAACCTAAACTCTTTAGCATTTAGTTTACTGTAAGTGATAAAATAGAACTTTAGCCTCTCTACATAACAGCAACTTTAATTAGGAACCACTTGTCTTATATAAAATGTGATCTTTGACTCCAAAATTTGCATTCATTTTTACTTGACATTTGTCTGTTGGTGGTATACCCTTGAATTTTATTACAACCGTCACTTAAGACTACGTCATATGTGTAGCTATGTTAAAACAATGTCTTTCCAAGCCATATTTTTATAGTTTTTATATTTTTCCATTAAACAATTACTTCAAAATTACTTGTTATCCAGTATGTCAGTATCAGGAACAGTAGGCCAACTGTTTAAGAAGAGTATAACTAACGTTACCAGGAAAGGTTCAGGGAGCACTTACTCCTTAGTGACACAGAGTAGCCACCCAGAACTTCACAGGTAAGAAATGGATTTTACATCTTAATAGTAGATTTTCAAACAAAACTAACAAGCCATAGCCTACAAAACTAATCAGAGATAGGATTTGGATTAGTCTCTTAACATTTTAGATACAAACTTATTGTCATCATTTCCCGTAATTCAAAAGCAGTGAGTTAGTTTCAATTGTAATATTATAGTATCTTATAATAAGAGAATGATAGAAAACACAAGGGCTACTGACAGCAGCTAGACATAGCAAATACTGTGTTATAAAAAGATGCTGGTAAAATGATTTTTAAAATGTTTATTTAATAATGTCCAAGATGGTACTACATGAATTTTATTATTTAAATATATTGATATCTTAGTTTCTAATGTAGAAAATGCTAGAAATAAAATAATTCTGATTCTGAAGATGATAGTAGGTTTTTTAGGCTCTGAGAATTATAAATTTTCTATCTTTGAAGACGAGGATATTAAAGATGACAATTAAAATTATTGATTTTTTGCGTGTGCTTTTTCTACTTGTTCACACATTTCCTCATTTAGTCAATTAAAAAGCTGACTGTATACTCATCATTCTTCTATGTAGTAAGGAAACAGCAATTAACAAAGCAGTTTAAACTTACATTCTAGTAGGGGAGACAAGCAAATATAAAATAATAGTTTCAGGTAGTGATAAGGGTACTAAAGATAAAGCAAAAGAAAATAAATAGGAAGTATAGGAGTAACCACATGTGAGTAGATACATGTGTGTATGTGTGACTGTTTTTGAGGCTATTTGGTAGAGGCAATATTTGAATTCAGATGTGAATAATATGAAGGAGTTGGGCATGAAAAGATTTTGGAAAAGAGTGTCCTGAACAAAAATACACTCTGGTACTGAAGCTAAGGAAAAGCTTGCATTTTGGAGGACTAGAAAGAAGACCAGGAGTTGCAGTGCAGTGAATTGGAAGGAGCAGGGGGAGATGAAATCAGAAAGGCAGAGAGAGGCCAGCTCGCATAGAATTCTGAAGACCATAGTGGATATTTAGATTTTATGCTGAATGGATAAGATTGGGGAAGATGTGAGGGTTTTGAGTGACCTGAACAGATTTGTGTTATAAGGTTACTCTGGATACCCTGTGAATTAGGTACTGTAGTGAGACAAAAGGGAAAATAAGGAAGATATTTAGGGAGCAGTTTGTAGTCCTGAGCAGAGATGATGATGAGTTAGACTAGGGTGATAGCCTTAGAAATGGTAAACAGTAGTTGATTTTGGAGATAATTTATGCCACAGCCAATAGGACATATATACATACTAGATAGAGTGAGGTGTGAGGAGTCAAGGATGAATTCTTGGCTTTTGGTTTGAATGGCTGGGTGAATGGTATTGTTTGCTGAGATGGGGAATGCTGGAAAAGAACAGGTTGATGGGAGTGGTGGATAAGGAAGAGTTCCCTTCAGTTTTGCCCTTGTCAGATTTGATATATCTGTGAACATACAGTAGGAGATTTTGAGTGAGCAAATAATAGAGAAATCAGGGCTGAAGCTATAAGTTTCTTAGTTTTCAGAAAATAGATCACTTAAATGAGTATAGATAAAGAATGGGGCTAAGGACTGAGTCCTGGGAAGCTCCAATATTTAGAGGTGAAGAAGAGGAAAAACCACAAAGAAAACTGGGAAGGGATCCAGTGAAGTTGGGGGAAAAAACAAGAAGCATGCAAGATCTCAAAAAATGTACTCCTAACAAAAGGAAGATGTAGAATCCAGGAAACAGAATCACACACACTTGGATTACATATCCTTTCTTTTAAAACTTTTCTCCCTGGAATTAATAATTACTTTGCTTTTATACTTGTTTACTTTCCTATGCCCTCATCACTATTTCAGATCCAAGCTATTAAAGTGGACTTGACATTGCATTGTCTCACCATATAGTCCAACAAGTAATCCCCCTCTCTCCGGCCTTTGTCTGATACCCTTCTTGGAAGCCTCATTCCCCTCCAATCTAGATGTGTTGTCCTACGGGCCTACTGCAAGCTGCTTGGCTGTCACACTGGCATTTATCTTCTTCACTAGCCTGTTCACTGGCTTGTTTAGGTATCCCTGATTCTTTGGTCAGCTCTGAATACTATTTACATGAGTGTAGAACAGTTATTTACTAGAACTCTGTGCCCATGGCTGTATTAGGAAGCCTGGGGAAGGTGAAGTTTGGGTGTGTTGTGGTGGAGGGGGAGAATTTTGTAAGAGAGTTTAATTCTCATCATCTACATCTGGGAATTTGTAGATAATACCTAAAACTGAAAAATCGAGTAATAGGAGTATAAGCATGTTGGGTAGAAGTATGGAATGAAATGTCAGAAGATACGTCTACAATTATTGGGACCAGTTACTGGAGCATAGTGTGTGCTCAATAAACATTAGTAAATTCTAGATCTGAATAACTGCAAAGTACAGCTGATAACTCCAAATTTAAAACATAATGAATGTAAATGTATGTTGATCTCTCTCCAGATTTTTAATTAAATTGTTTCTATTTATGTTCATTTAATTTGCTTCCCCTGTTGTTTGATGTACACTTTTATTCAGAGGAATACTTGTTTTTATTGCATGTGTAGGCATGTGTGAGAATTCCATCCAATTTATTTTAGTATTTGGCTTATAATATTTTTAACTGTAATACTTGTTGTATCTTTAAAATATAAGTATTATGGCTAGATTAATTTGCTAGTATTTTGCTGTTTGCCTTATATACGTATTTTACTAATAATTTGCTCTGTTTTCATGAACTATGTAAGAATTTAATTTATTTCAGTTTCAGAATTGTACTGAAATACTACATTTTATGGTATTTGCCTTTATAATATGTCATATGTGGTATGTCATTTATCAGTAAATTTGCTGTGTTTTGGTTTACTGTTTACTAGTATTTAATGCCATTATATTCATCTTTAGCAATCTAAATTTTTTTAGGCATGGAAGATGTTGTTATGCCTTTAGAAATTATGATTCCCTACTGGAATATAGCATATTTTCATATCCACAAGAAACTTTTCCCCTAGAAGATTATAAATTACTTTTAGTATGTAAATTATGAGAAAAAAATTGGGAATTATTTTATATACATACTTGTCTTAGATCTTGGCAAAAATGGAAAACCTCTTTGAATGGGTCTAAGAAATACCCTTATAAAATAGCAAATTGAGAATTATGGAATGTACTAATATAATTAGTTATTTCAAAATGTTATCAGTCTTTTCAAACTCATCAGACTTTTCAGTTAGTGTAAATATACTGCTCTGTGGGCTGTTGTATAAAAATTGAGAATTTCTAATTTATAGATGTGTTATTTTTATAGAATAGCAGTTTTAATTAAAAGAATAACACAGTATTTATACAATTTATATATTTTATCAATAGAGCTATTGATTTAATGCTCTTTTTAAAATTAAAATTGACTGTTTTAGATAATCAAGACATATTTACTCTAATAAAGGAAAAGTAGAGATAGGATTTTATATATTACAAATGTCTGTTCTGACAGTATTGCTAAAAGCGATTGTGAAATATTGAAAACATACTAGTTTCTTTTTACTTTTTCATCACCTAACTCAACAGAAAAACAAAAGTCCTGATTTTTAAAATATGAAACTAGAGTATTTTTAATTCACAGGTTGTATTTTACATTAAAAACTTTTATGTAAATCTAGATCTTTGTAAAGCATTCCACTCAGTTAAGAACTGTTTTGTTTCAGTTTCTGTTTTGCAACCTGAAATATTCTTTCCTTTTAGTGGCATTGTTGGAAATAGTGCAACTACATTATTGACCACCATTGAAGAAATGCATTTGCTAAGCAAAAAAATATTCTTCAATAACTTGAGTCTTCATGCAAGTAAATTAATGGACAAGGTATGTTTGAAAAATGTAATTGTTATGTGAATGTGAATCTTTCACATTAAAGATGTTTTAATGATTTTTGTATTGATTGGTAATTTTTCCTATTATATTCTATATTCTTTTGAGTTCTTCATATGACCAACAAATTTCATTTTGAGATGGCTTACTGGACCTAAGATTGTAGTCTGTATTCCTGAAACAGTATCACATTTAGTTATGATTGGAGATAGAGTATCAGGCTCCAATTTAACTACCATTTTTTCTGTAACAAAAATTGTATAATTAAAGCAAACTTACTGTATTTAGCTGGGGGATAAGATAATGTACAGATTGGAAAACTAGAATTGTTACAAAATGTTTTTTCCAAACAGCTTATGTTTTTACCCTTTGATGTTACAGGTTTTTCCTTATGAAATGTATGCTCCTCTGAGTTATATAATTATTTATGAAAACAAACAAGAAAAAGCATCCCACAAAAAAACAAATAAGCAAACAAATAAGCAACAAAAACCTGAAAGAGTCCTATAAGACCTAATATCTTAAATTGAGCAGGATATTGTGGCAGGACCTTAAGGAATACATTTACAGTGATCAAATCATTCTTTATTTTTGTTTCGTTATTGAGGACATGAGTTTTTCAAGGGTGTGTCACAATCACCATGCTGGCTTTTTACTGCTGTAGCTAATAGGCTAGCTATATTAAGCCCAGGTTTTGTAATATGGTATAAAATAATAGCAATTTGGTCCAAAATACCTGGTCAGTCTTCACTTTCGTAAGTTCAATCTTCACTTTCCTAAGCCTTAATAGGAGTCTACTTCCTGACCCACATGCATGACTCAAGATTTATTTGGAAAAGGAACATGAATTTGTGGAGATGGAGTATCTACCTTAATTTTTCTTGCCAGTGTGCTTCTGTTTGCATCAGGAGTTTACTAACAATAATTTCTGGTTACGTTTGTTTTTATGAGTTTTTATTTAGACAGACCTCTTCTAAAATAATTTATACATGATACACAAACATTAAATCTGAATAAATATGTTGTAGCTATTGAGAGTACACAGATGAACACTCAAGGTCTGTTGGCCTCATTAAGGTTGCTTCTCCTTTGTTGGAAAATAACCAAATAAGCCTGGTTATTATAGAATGTACCTAGGGTATATACTAGCACCAAAGGAGGAGTATATTTAGCAAACTATATGTATTCCTTTACAGAGAGGAAGCTTTCTACAGAGAGAGGTAGTAGAGTTGAACTTTGAAGGACATGAAGGCTTTAGATAGGTGAAGAAAAAAAAAGAAAGGAGTGGATAGGGGTCATCTTAAATAGAAGAAACAAATAGAATATGTTAGAACATGAGCTATGAGTTACCTATAAACACATTTTTCATTTATTAAAAATTTTTAAATACCACTTGTAAAGTGCTGTGTTTATATATATGTGTATATATATATAACATATATAAGCACATTTTTCATTTATTAAAAATCACTTGTAAAGTGATGTGTTTATATACATATGTATATATGTGTATATATACACGCACACATATATACACATACATGTATATAAAACACACATATATACATGTATGTATATAACATGTATATAACATACACACATACATGTATATATGCGTGTGTATGTATAATATATACACACGTATATATGTATGTGTATATGTTTCTATATATACATGTATGTGTATATATGTTTCTATATATGCATGTATGTGTATATATGTATGTATATATACATGTATGTGTATATATGTATGTATATAATGTGTATGTATATATGTATATGTGTGTATATACATGCACACATATACACATACATGTATATATAAAAACCATATACACACATACCTATATACACGTGTGTATATATGTTATACACATATGTATATATGTGTGTATATGTATGTGTATATATGTGTTATATATACACATGTATATATGTGTGTATATGTTTATATGTATATATGTGTATGTATGTGTACACATACATGCATATATAAAAACATACACATGTGTTATATATACATATGTGTTTATATATGTTATCTATAACATACACATATATACACACATTACATATATATTATATATAACATATCTTATAGATAACATATATACACATACATATATACATATGTGTATATAAACACACCACTTTACAAGTGATATTTTTTAATAAATGAAAAATGTGCTTCCCACATATGATATATATATATCATATGTGGGAAGGCCAGGTTGGAGATAGGAAAATTAAAGGAGTATTGAAGTTGTTGTTATTCATACATGATCTAAGGGAGATACTCTGGGAATAGTAAAGAGGGGACAGATTCTTAGAAAGATAAAATCTTCAAAATTTGATGACTGACTGAATATGGGTAAGTGATCACCTAGAATAATCCCTAAGCTAATCACAAATATCGAGAATACAGAAAGAGGGTACAATTTGGGAGATAAAGATGGTATTGTCTAAGTTAGATAAATTGAGTTTGAGATCCCTTTAAGAGATCCCTCTGGAATTGGTCTAATCTAAAAGGGAGTGATACATTTGGATTTAGAGAGTTTTACATGTAGGAGATGGTTGAATTCATAGGTTTGAAGGAAGTCACTAGAATATTTTTTAACAAGAGTAGAGCTACCAGAACACAGTCTTGGGAAACGCTGACATCTAAGAGAAGGAAAAAAGTCAACAGTATGATACTGAGAGAGGATGGCCAGAGAGGCAGGACAAAAATTAGGATAAGGTTTTATCAGAAAAAGCCAAGAAAAGAGAGTTTCTAAAGGGAAGGCATAGTTAATAATGACAGATGCTTTTAAAGAGTTCTAGTAGCAGGCTTGTCATCTTTGGTAATATATAGATGATAGGTGACCTTACTGGACAATAGGAGCCAGATTGCAGTATATAGAAAAACACATGGGTAAGCATGTTACCCAAAGCTTCACCAATTGGAAAACATACGGACCTCAAGACTGAAAATAGATGCTTTAGGCATTTGTATTAAGAAATTTAAACCAGAACAATAAAATAAAGATAAATAGAAAGGATGGAATTAAATTTTGTGACAAATAAGGAAATAAAAGCAGAACTGATTATTTGTTGAAAAGATAAAATTGACAAACTTCTAACAAGTCTAATCAAGGAAAAAAAAAGTTTTAGAAGTTGGAGACAATCCACAGATGAGAATTAAAACTTCTTAGAGAGTACCATGTACAGTTTTGTAGTAATAATCTGAAAATCTGAGTAAGAGGAATGCTTTTTAAGGTGATAAAAATTGGTAAAATGTGAGTCAAAAAGAAGTGGAAAGTTTGAATATACCTAAAGAAGGAAGAAAAGTTATTAAAGAACATGTTGCCAGGCCTAGTTCAGATCATAGAGAACTTCATTCATACTTAGGAGGAACAGATAATTCTCCAGAACATGGAAAAATATGGAAATCTTCTCAGTTTGTTCTAGGTGGTACGACACTGACATAAACCTTTTAAAGGTAGTAAGCAGTGAAAACACAGATTAGTCACTTTTTAAGTTTTAAAACTTCAGACTTCAGCATTTGTATATGAAAACCAAGATGGTTTATTTCATGAATATAAGAATGTTTCAGTGTTAGGAAATATATTAAATGAGTATATAAAATAAATTTTGTATTCTCATATTTGATCACATTGTTTGGGGGAAAATCTTAGTAAATAAGTCATTGAAGAATATTTCCTTAATCATAAAAAGAGAAATAAAACTAACAGCCAACATCATAATTAATATTGATGCACTGGTGGTTCTTCTGTTTAAGTGAAGAGCAAGAATGCTTGCCAATACTTTTAAATAATAACCACGGTAGAAAGACCAGATAAAGAAATGAAATTTAAATATTTTCAAGGAGGAGACATTAGATTCTTTATGCATGTTATGACAGTCTATTTTGAAGACTTAGGAGAATCAACTGAAATTGTACAACCAGAAAATGAATTCTAGTGAAACAGTTGGTGAAAAGATCAATATACAAATGTAATTAATTTTCTTATATGCCAGCTCATGAGGTGCTCAGTAAATACTGATAACACGAATGACTGGTTCCGTTCATTTTCTGCTGGCCTATATTCCATCACTATCTTTCCATTAGTTTTAAATCTCTTTCACCCTTCCCATTTTACCACATTTGCTTTGCAAAACCACCTTGAATTAATTCAATTTTTCAATTTTTCTTGTGCATACTATGACTGGTAAGCACTGCTAAAGAAAATTACATACCCATACAGACAGGAGTCACTAAAAATTGTCTCCAACATCGGGAAAGCTCTCTATGAGGTCCAGCAAATGCTGATTGTCCTTTGGTACTACTCATATTTACCTTACTTACTTTCACCCATTTCCTTAAATCTACCATACTACCTCCTACCAAAAAAGTACCAACCCTTGCTAAAACTGGAAATGGACATTAAAAAGAATCATTGCCAACATGATGAGCAAAAAGTGAGATATTTTGTTTTTTTTCTCATTTGGATTTCTGTAATTCTAGTGAGAATGAACATTTTGAGATAGGTTTTTGGCTGTGAGTTGCATGTTCAAGTCCTTTGTCATTTTTCTATTGGATTGTCTTGTTCGTTTCTGATATTGTTTATGCATTAAGAATACTAACTCCATCATATACATTACAGACATTTTCTCCACACATCATTTGCCTTTATAATTTGCCTGTAGTATTTTTTGACACATCAACTTTTAATTTTTTTATAGTTAAATATAAACTTTTTAAATAGTTTTTTCCCTTGGGAGCATTCCATGCTTGAAAGTATTCCCACAAGAAAATACATTTACAGTTTAATATATAATAAAGTTAGCGTCTATTAGTTGGGAAATGATAAATTGTTTAATACATTTATTTAGATGTATTTTCTTAGATGTTTCTGTGTATTCACTTTATTTGTTTATTTTTTTAAGAGACAGGGTCTCACTCTTGTTGCCCAAGATTATAGCTCACTGCAGCCTTGAATTCCTGGGCTCCA